AGTGCTGCACGGTGAGTTTACTTAGATTTAGTTGTGGGGGGACTTTTTTTTAAAGGTTTTGTTGGCTCTAGTGGCCTTTAATGACAGTAGCTTGACAGGAAAGGGGGCAAAGATAGAGAGGGGGAGACCTGCGGGAGAGGGCCGTGATCAAACCAAGGCCGCCCGCTTATGAGGAGGCTCTCACACATGGTCCGCCCGCTGTAACCGTTAGTCTACTCTGCGGCCCTTGGGGGAACTTTTGAAGTCGTAGAGGACAGTGTCAAGTTGGAGGGATCTGAAAATTCAGAACATGTCCGCAAACGGAAACCTTCTGGAAAAAAACAGAGCAGACTTTTTCCCATCTAACCACTTCACAAAGGCACATGTTGCTCGTTGAAAGCAGGACTTAAAACAAGAACAACTAATTCTGCCTTTCCTGATATATATTAAAATATTATGTAGTTACATATATGTAGATATATATATCGATATTTATATCTATTTATATGGGGGGGGTGCATTTATACAGTTAAATTCACATTTTCATCACACAACATTTTTATTTGTGTTTTTTTTGTGAATGATTGGGTTGCAGAATTTCTTAATATTGTTCCACTTATCGTTTGGTAGAAGAGATTTGACTTCTTGTAAAGGAATACAGATTCTAAAGGCAAAATCTAAATGATTTATATGCCATTGTCATCAATCTAAACTCCAAACACCTTCTGCCTAAGACCTCCGTAATATTATGTCTGTTTTATTTTTCATGAGCTTCATTTGGATGAAGTTTACATGTCCTCCACCCGAAAGTAACTGTCAACTTGTGTCTCTGCTGTGTTTCCTTCAGGGTCTCCTCTCTCCTGCGGGTCAAATGAGGGAGACACCAGACTTCTCTTTACAACACGTAACTAATCAGATTCTTTTCTCCTTTAAAACATGCATGATTTGGTCAATATCCCGGCCACACAGACCAAACTATGAATCAAAGAGTCATTATCAATACTCATTATATTCATTCTAATTGATTCATATTCTATATTGATCAACTATAGTAAGATGGCTTAATCCGTGTTCTGAAACATGTTCCACTTTCAATTTTCAGTTGACAAATGTGGAAGAATCCCGTTACTTGAGGGTGGTGTGTTTGAACAAGTTGGAATGTATGTTTTAAAGTACCAGTGCAGCCAGATGCACAAACTAGAGGGTCCAGAGTTTGTGGTCTGTCACAGCAACGGCACATGGTCACAAACACCTGCCTGCACAGGTAA